TTGCAAATAACATAATTTTGAAGTATATATGTCGTAACAGATGCAAACGTTCATCATTTCTAACATTGTCAAATTCATTAATACATGCCTTATTTCGGCCTTTGTAAATTATCATCATTAAGGACTTAAAGCTGTAAAGCCTGATTGTCTTTTTAATTAACATCACCATCATAAACTTCAGGCAGAGGTGATGTATTCGAATCTTCCAACATATGATAAACAACTTATTCTGTTTACATCGATCTTGATTGGTTCTTGTTGCCTTTTAACCTGTCATTATCTGCCTTTTTATTTTGATTCTATTTCCCTCTGATCTGACTCTTGATCCTTTATTTGTCCATGATTTTTTTTTGATTGATTAATAAATTGGACTGATTTCTATATGCTTGCTGATTGACCTGAGTGCCAAGCTTCAAAAACTTATTTGCTGTTCTTGGCGTTCTTTCTGTTCAAGATTTGAACATTCTTTCAGTTGAGTTTATGTGTCCATAATTGATCACATATACTGAGCTCTGGTCCATCGGATTTTATTGGCCATAAATATCTCAATCGCCTTTGTTAAAATTATCAAACCTTCTGATATGAGTATTTTCTCTAGCTTTCTCTTTTGGATGCCCGTGATGTGTTAGTGTTTGCTTACCATTTTGCTCAGTCATTTTTCATTCCATTAACCCAATTATGCATGCATGCATCATTTGAAATATCGATAATTTTTATGATAAGCAGATAAATATTTTTGGTTGCCTTACATCATTACGATAAGATTAAGTTTTGTCATTAAATGATGATGAAGTGTTACCAGTTGATGTCTTGATAATTTGTTACTGGTTTCATTGTGTTTTGCATGATTCTGTAGTACAATTGAATTTATTACAAACACAATATATAATGAATGAAATTTCTTCTCATTTATATACACACAACCTGTTATCTTAACACTTTTCGTTTCACACCACATTTCTCTTACACACGAATGTAAATACCTACTTTAATCATTGTTAACGTTGATTGAATGACCTATTCAGAATACAGTAAACCGGAGAATCATGTACCTATTTATATTCGATAATTTTGATGTTTGATTATATTTCCTTGAAAAAGCTTGGACCAGATTGTCAGGCGAAATGTTACATTTACTTCGAATTCCTTCACTGAGATTTTACAAATACATTCTTCCTTTTTAATGTCTCACATTAACTCGGCGCCCAAATACTATGAAACTAATCGATCAAATTTAGACGAAAGTTCTTATTTAGTTTATTATTGTCATTCATAAATAATTCTGGTATTTTTAGGTGATTGAAATGAGGTAACAAAATACCTATTTTTAATTCTTGACATTAATTTCTCTTCATAGTAGCTATTTAAGGTGATGAGTTCAGTAATCAGATTTTATCCATTTAAAAATAACTATTAATGTTCTGTGAGTTGACCAAAACTGCTTTTAATATCTTACCATTACTATTAAGAGGGAGGTTTGATTTGACACTTACAGTACGCTACATTTCAGAATGCCATAAGCGTAATTGTAAAACAACTCAATAGTAGTTTGGTTATCGTTTTTGCTATTTTTTTTGCATTAGCAACCATTCATAAGACTTGTGTCATAAACTATTTTCATACATTTCATAGTGGAGCGACCGTAGTGTAAAAGTGGTAAGGTGTAATTTACGATTAGTTATGCATTGCGAGATCTAGTGTGATTCGCTGAATACCAACCACTTTTATCATATTTTTAGGACTACATGAAGATTTAGCATCAGGTTCGATTTAGTTCTTGTAATTAGAATCTTATGAAATTTTAATTAACAAGCTTTAATAGAAATATTGTTCTATGGTTTCCATTCAATGCAAATAATTTCAGTAAGTAACTCAATCGTAAAGAAACAAATTAACACTTTTACGTAGTGCTTGCATTGATTGAACATACATGATATTCAAAATGATGTTCTGGAAGATCCAAAAAGTTCAATTCTTTATTTACACTATTTTACGTCTTCTATTGTTGTGAATTCTAACCATACTGGACTACTAGATCATAAGACCCTTTCATTTTCTTGAAAAAAAACAGAGAGTAATGATGTAGCCATTGAAATGATCGTGATGTTGAATCAAGCCGTTGCAACATATTCAGAAATCCAGCGTATACTTCAACTCTCCCTGACCATACGAAACCATCATACCACTTTTCTGGCATTAAGAAGGGAAATCAGCTCTTCAGATATAGTATTATCTCCGTAGGATAACTGCAGTGACAACGTTATGCATTAGTCTCAGCGATATTTTAGGCTTATAGTTTTAACCATTTTTGCAGTCCGTGGTTTCGTATTGAGCAAAAACTCACATAGTATTATGTCTATTGCAGTACCTCTTGGTTTCCAGTATCGAGGGAAACAACTTCAATTCATTCCAAGCTTTAAACTAAACATTGAAGTAAGCTCATCAGTTCTTATACGAATAGTAGAATTGAGACCTTAAATGGGGTAGCATATACATTTAGCACTCAATACATTTAGGTTTTGCAGTGTGCAAATGTCATATTCATAGATAGGTAGGTAGTTAAATATTAAAGTTCGTAAACAAATTACCATATTTTTCAAAACTTATAACTTTTATAACCTTAGAAAACAGTTGGATATCTTTTTGGTGTATTGTTGCATTCACTAAGATTTGACATCAGCTTGTTTACTTTAGGGCGACTTTTAAGTGCATCGGTCAATGAAGATGATGTGTTAACGTTATTGCCCTATAAGCATAATGAATGATAACTTTGGGATCCATTTATGGCCAATACTACATGTATATTTTTATCGCATAATTGTTAAATAACTAATCTATTCATATTCAAGTTCCACTATTTATGAGCCTTGTTTTAACCTTTGAACTATTATTATACGATTTACCATTCTTAAATTATGCCCTGTCTATTAATTACTACCTCACACATTCATAGCCACATTTGGCCAAATCTTGTACAAATGTTGTTTTCTATTTTATTGGTCTGTTTAGTTGGTATATAAACCCAGTATGTTTGAAATAAATGATTCATATTGCAGAGACTGAGATTGGTGTTCTGGACTTAACTGGTTGGGCTAGGCAGGAGGCAGGGCCATTAAGGACTCTAGACTGTTCATAGGGGTTTATGCGTCATTGATCCGATCGATAAATCACTGCTCTCTAATTGGCGCTATCGTTACGTTATACATCAACAGGGCACAGGTCACAAGTTATGACAGTTAATACTCTTGATCCTGTTCAACTGTAATAACGTTCTATCGATTGTCTCTAATATTCCCATATTTTTGACGCAGTTTATAGCTACAGATACGTTCAGCGTTAGAGCTCAGAGTCAGTGAGAATAACGAATGAAGCTTGGACAATTTTTGTAATTATGATTGTTGTTTTAAACGATCGTAAAGACAATTGTGGACAAATAAATTTTATCGTACCATTGGTTTGAATTTATTGATATGACGATTTCTGTGACAATTTTTGTTCTTTTGTTCTGGTTCGGTAATCGACAGTAATTAATTACATCGTATCAGTTTTCAGTTTCGACAGAAATGCCAAAACTGTAACAGTATCATATTCATCAGTAAAGGGATGTGGAGATTTTTTTTCATTGGAATAATTAATCATTCAATGTTGTACCACCATTAAGTACTTGGAAGCACTGGACGACCGGTTCGTTCTAGTATGGGACTCCTCAACAACGGGCATCGACGACCCAGCACACGGATGTTGAACCCAGAAAATTCGATCTTGCGCGCGAACGTTTACCTCTAAACCACTGAGCTTGTATCCCATGGCGTTAGTGATTAACCACAACCCTATATTGAAAATTATGAAATGATCACTAGTGACCAGCTTCGAGAGGGAATTCGCATAACTCTGGTCAAAAGCCGAGATCAGTGGAGTTCAACCGTGCCGAGTGTGAGGATGCTACTCACCGAAGACAATGGATGTTTACGCAACATCACGGACTGATGGAAGTTAAACATTAGCATCGTTAGACGCCGACCTATTCGCCTAGAGGTCAAACGTTCGCGTGTGAGACCGAAGGTCCTGCATTTGAGTCTTGAAAGCGAGATCGTGAATACACACTGTTGAGGGGTCAAATATTAGAACGAAACGGCCATTCAGTGCTTCCAGGCTTTTGATGGTGGTTTAACATTGATCGACTCATAAGTACCACAATTGTTTTTTGGGCTGTCGCAGTACATAATTTCCTGACAAACTTAAACATTTAAGAGATAGATTAGAGCAGTGAAAATCTTTTAAAAATGAAGCATTATAAGAAAATCTCCTTGAGTTTACAATGAGTTTTATGTGATAAGAATTAAGACAGATTTCTATGGGGTTTGTATGTTTAAATTCTATCGTAGTATGTCGAAAATAATAGCTTTTCATTAGACAGTCAAATCTTAGAAAAAAACAGGTATCCAATGGTAATATCTTGTATGTTTTTATAATAGCTTCGATCCAGTTGATGAAAAGTAACTCGTCTCTTTGTACTAAAACTATTGGTTGTTGTTTATATTTGGTTCAGGCATAAAAGAGAAAATTATCGTACTATCAATAGTGGAAAACATTTTTCTGAGATATGCAGACATAAGAATGATGTTGTGATAAAGTGTTTTCATCCGTAGGTTTCTAGAAAAGCAATTAAATCATCATATGGTTATGAATCGACACATATTTTCCAGTTTCCAGATATGAGCAATCAGTCTGAAGCCATAATTTATAATATCCAGTTAGTGTAAGCTGCGATTATTCAGGGGTCAAAGACACAACTTCATATGCATCACATATAAGAAACTATCTTGTATTGTAAATGAACTGCTTCAATTATTTCTATTCCTCATTTTTTTTGTGGACGTTTGAAAGAATCTACGAAAAGAATCTCTTTATAGAAATGATAGAAGATCCTAAATCTTCTATTGAAATACACTAAATTTAGTATAAACGCGATATGCCTAGCCTAAAATGTAATGTATATATTTACAAAGAAAAACCGAAACGAAAACTTAAATATTTACGTATTCACCCATTTACATGTTTGGGAACTTCAACAAGTACTCTCTTAGTATTCATTCTGAAAGAATAATCGTTGTGGAAATACGCATGTGATGTATGCTACTTATGTCGACAGTTATATGTAGTATATAACACCAATCAGTGGTGGAATGCCTGGCAGCAAAAGACTTAGAAGATCGAGCTGAGGAGAATAGAAAGAAAAACAGAGAAGAATTGGAGTACAAAACAGAATTGAAATGACCATAAAACTGATGGAAGATATGTAAATGATGTATTCGATGTATGGTTTTCATATTTTATCAAAGCTTTCTGTAATTTAGCAATAAACAACAATAATAATTGGTTATCCTTATTAGACTTCTTCGCTCACTACACGCATACCTAACATTTCAGGTATCAGTCACATGTTTGAGTAGTTATACTGACAAGAACTTGAATAATGACGAACTAGAAATTTGAATAAAAATGAAAAAGTGTTTAAAGACATTTAATACCAAGTAGATGATTTACTCGATAAAATACTTTATAAGATACATAAAAAACACTTGAAGTGGTTTCATACATTTACCTTTTTAAAAATAAATGTAATATTGTATCTATGATGGAAATATGATAAAAAAAAGATTTACGATTATCTGTCTATATATAAGTTTTATATAAAGTATTTTACTATTGCATCATCTGTATGTATTTTATGGTATATATATATAGATGATGTAAGTGTGCAAACTAGCTGTTATATCCGAGCGAAGATTAAATCATGAGTAGCTTCTTAAATATTAATTGACTAATATTATCTATATATTCTTATGGTATAACTATTCAACAATTAGATTATGTATATTTATATTCCCTTTATTATAAGCTTTATTTTGACTTATAAACTATTATTATACGATTTACCATTCTTGAATTATGCCCTGTCTATTAAATACTACATCCCTCATTCACAGCCACATTTGGCCAAATCTTGTACAAATGTTGTTCCCTATTTTACGGTACAATGTGGTCTGTTTAGTTGGTATATTAACCCAGTATGTTTGAAGTAAATGATTCATATTGCAGAGACTGATATTTGTGTTCTGGACTCAAGTGGACGGGCTAAGCGGACTCAGGATCAACAGGACTCTAAGCTGCTCATACCGGTCGAACGTCATTCGTTTTGACACAATGCTAAGATTGTATTAATCGTATTTTGATTGGTGGATAAATCACGTGATAAAAAGCCGGATATAAAGTCACAAACTAGCAGTCGAAACCTGGCGCCAACTACTGTTGTATTGAAAATAATGGTTTAACTAAATGTAATTTTACATGATAAAACATGGGACTGCACTGAAATTTACAGAAAATGTAGATAAAAAATGAATAGTCTCAATAATAAGATTTGCATTCATATTGCTATATTTGAGAGTTTTTTTTCATTGAAGTTACTTGTATCCATAATGGTATGGTTATTCAGATATCAAGTTAGTATTCTTTAATTCAAATTTCAGAATACATTATCTACTACGTAACAATGATACACTTATTTAGCAGGTGAGATATTCATCTCATTAGATGATAAGTAAGTTTATTTTCCCTTTACATTTACCCAGTTGATGTGTGTTGTGGATTCCAACAACATGACACACTTAAGTCTAAATGCTGCAGGTATAGGTATGCAAATAAAAAGTGATATTTAATTCTTACGGTTGAAGTAACTATATTGAAATAAACGAAAATTTCATTACTTTATGCAACAGTTATTATGTTTGTTATGAGTGGAAAATAATATCATTTCATAGGAATGAACATATAGTGAAAACCTTTGGCTTACTATTTTGTTGCCAACTTATTTAAAGTTCCACCATGTGAAGTGTACAACTATGTAATCAGATGATAGATACTTTAATATCAAGCTTTCTACAGTATTATTTCCTAGTATTTTTAAATAACACACTTGTTCTTGGATGATACAAAACATACTACTATGAATCAATAAATGTTTTGGATAGTAATTCTGAAAATTAACTAAACTCGAGTAATATCGAGGTATACGCACAGTATGCACATATGCCAATAACAGACTGATCAATTGCAGTCTTAAACCTCAATGGGAAGATACAAGTCAAACAATACCAAGTGAATTTAAACTCGAGTATACTGTGGTATCGATAAGTGAAAAACTTTTTGTGACATCCAGTAGCTTCCCTTCAGGTTCTATGGTTGTGAATGCAAATTAATTTTACAATGGGATGAATTACTTTAAAGCAAATACAATGTAGGCAGTTGGTAATGTCGGTAAAATAATGCTATTTGCGTAGAAATTCCCAGCATGTAATTGAAATTATATGAGTTCATGGAAGCTCTTCTTTTCAGGAGATCTTTCAAAGAAAGATTTCTAAGTAATAGTAGTAAACACTTTTGATTCATAATAAGTAAGAAGGATAACAAATTGTAATGAAATAAAGAAGATTAATTAAAAGAAATGCAATCAAATTTATTGCTTGAATTAAATCAATGACTATCAAATGATGACTTACCTCAATAAAATATCTCTCCAATCTTAATCGAGGTGATGTTTATTATATCTCAAATGTTCACAACTGATATACTGACAAATATTAATGCTTAATTTCAATAGTTGAGATCATGAGTCGATTGAAGATAGATAACCATGGAAAACCTGAAACCACTGAACGGACATTTCCAATTAGTATGCCACTCCTCAGAAGTGTGCATCCACGACTTCATCTCGCAAAATTCGAATACAGGACATATCAGTCTCGCGCACGAGCGCTCAACCATTATACCACTGAGCTGGTCGGCATCCAACAGTTTTAATGTCTAACTTCAACCAGTTCATGTAATTGGGCGACAAATCCACCATTGTCATCAATGAGTTACTATCTCATAACTGACCCGGTTGAACTCCACAGGTTACTGCTTTTTACTAGAACTCCAGAATATACATCTTGAAGCCAGTCAGAAGGGGTTAAAAAATTTTCATATTTATCTTCTTAGTTGACTTTACATGAAGACAGTTTTATACATAGAATATTGAATTTTGATACTGTCTCTAAATAAATATCGTGGATATACACTTCTCGGGGAGTTTTATACCTGTATGAAACATCCGTCTAGTGTTTCCAGGTTTTCAATGATGTTCTAACTTAGATCGACTTATGAATTCAACTTTGAATATACTACAATCTCGAGAAATCTCTATATAATGAGAAATAAAATGGTTGATGGAGGTATATCTTTTAAGCTGAACATTTTTTATCATTCAGTAATTAAGAGCAAGCCAAATATAGATCCATCAGCCCTTTATTTACATGTTTATCTTCACGTTATGAACAGAGATTTTTTTAAAGGAACATTTAAAGCAGTTGTAACACATCTGAAACCTATCTTGAAATAAGTACATAACAAAAAATATACTCCATTTAACAATTAAGGTAACTTACTTGGACAAAAACTTGTAAAACCCAACACACCTATATTGATAATAAATAAATGTTTTCTCAATAATAAGAGGTAAGTGAAGGCCTTTGCTATAATTCGCCCTTAATGAATTATATATATATACCGCCCGTCGCTACTACCGCTTGAATGATTTAATGAGGTCGTTGAATTGGTGTCGTTGTAGTGGCTTTGCTGCTCAACTGATGCTAAGAAGATGACTTCATTTGACTATTTAGAAGAATTAAAAGTCTTAGGTGAACCTACGGAAGGATCATTATCACGAACCAGAAATATAGAATGAAATATGCTCTTGGCTTCGTGCTGGACTGCATTTACCCTGGCTTAGTGGCATTTACCCTAAACTTCAGCGGTTATATATATACATTTCATGGTCTGTACTAATATGCTACTTCGATGACTATTCTACATAAATTCGTTTACAGGTTTTTACCATTTAACGTAGCCACATTATTAATTTATTTAGATTAACATCTTTACTTATATATAGAGTAAAAATGTTGGCAAGACTAGAACTTATGAACAATATTTGCATGATTCGATAGTTATCTTGAGAAAAACCAACCATTTGATACGTTTAGATTATCGTTATGAGTTTGAGTGAAGAATTAAGATCGAGAATTAGGGTTAGGACTTAAAGTTGGAGTGATTTTTACGAATTGGCATAGGCTTTAATTTCAGACTTCTATTTAGAAATATGGATGAATGAATTTCACGTAAATATTACAAGATCATTGCCTGAAATGTTATTGATATAAATCGATTGTTGTCTGGTCACCACACCAATTATTAACATCATGGTTAAACCCTGCCAGAAGCTTTTGAGAGACGGTTTTAAATTCACAGGATTAAGACAAATTATTAAACTAATGTTCATTTTCGTTACATAATTCTTCAGTTCAACGATATTTCAAGTTCATGTATATGAAAATAAAATCAGTTCATATAACTTTATATCAATATAATTGGAGTTGCTCGCAAATGAACAGTTTCCAAACAGTTTTTTTTTATCTCTCAATTATACCGATCTACTCAATGATGCATAGTGGCTAGAAGTGGAATCCAGGACGCGCGTTTTGTCCTATTTGGGACTCGTCAGCTAGACGTACCTACATCTCAGAGTTGATGTTCACCCTGGAAGTCAAACCCAGTACCGTTTGCTTCAAACGCCATCACGTTATCCACTTAGCTACTGAGTCCTCATAGCCACATATGCTAATAAGAGACTGATCAACTGCAGTCTTAAACGCCAATGGGAAGATTCAAGTAATCAATACCAAAGGAATCTATACTGATCTAGGTCTTTTGAATTTTTCGCCTTTTACAATTATAGTATTCACTTTTTTCTCATTCTATATTGCACTCTATAGAAAGTCTTCCAGTTTCTGTGATGTTCTAGTATTGTTGCGCAATTTTCTAAGAGACAGTAGCTTTAGGAAATCTTTCAAACTTCTTTACTTATGCAACATTAAATTTAAAAAATCCCACTGTTTCTTTTTCATATTCCTTTATCAAGTCAAAAATTACATAATAGTGTCATTTTATTCATAAACAACTGATTTGATATTGTAGTCCATTGCTGTAAAGTAACATATTATTTATACATATACTATTAGATTGTGAGTTTTCAGTCAGAAAAAATATGGACCTATTCTGATATCACTTACTTACTTACGCCTGTCACTCCTCGTGGAGGAGCATAGGCCGCCCACCAGCACTCTCCATCCAACCCTGTCCTGGGCAAACCTTTCCAGCTCTTTCTGATATCAGCTGTGATTATAATAAACTTCGAAGAATGGTTTCTGGTTTAGTGAAAGGTTTATAATTTTCTTGAGGTATTTGATAAATTCATATATATATATATATATATATATATATATATATATATATATATATATATATATATATATTAATCTAGTGAATAGTTATTAAATAAACTTACATAACAAATGAGAAGCATCAGAAGATGGAAGGCACAGGAAATCTGAAAATATAACGTCTTTCTTAGGTTTAACTTGAATGTTATACAAAAACCTTTATTGAATTGATTGATCGTGACTGATATATTAAAACAAAATTTAACTTGTAATGGTTTGAATGATCGCTTTGTTGATATTTTTTCAGAAGTTTGATTGGTTTTAGTTGGTATGTGTTTATCCTGTGCCACGATATAGTCATTTTGAAATAAGTTGGTATAGAATAAATGGAATTTGACTAATATTGAAATCCAAGAAGGAATAACCTAGACGATTACATAATAAGTTAAAAATTACACACGTTTAACAAGAGAGGGGTTATCCAAACTCAGTGGGTAGCGTATTGACATCTGATATGAAAGATACTGGCTGAAATTCACAGAGTGAACATCAACTCTGAGGTGCTGTTTTATATAGTTGATGAGTTTAAAATTGGGTGAAACATCCTTCCTGAATTCCACTGCTAGCCACATTCCATCTTCATTCTATTTGAAATTTGCTTTACTTTTAAACGTACATTCAAAAATGAATGTCCATTTATTCACCAAATAAGCAGTTTACGACTGAAATACGCTATCGGACTATCAGTATAATGAGAGGCTTATAAAGAATAATTTAGAATTCTCAGAGTGAGATATATAGTGTATGTAATAGAGCAGATATGCACAATTAGTGATGATCAGTATAATTAATGAAATGAATTATATATAATGATGAAGTAAACAAATTAATTACACAAAAGGATGAATACGTAATTTGATCTTACACAAGATAAACAGTAGAGTTGCTACGTACAAAATATTCATGGTGATTTCTTAATTAATAAGAATTTAAATGATTTTTATACACTTCTACAAACTATATTTTATCCGATACATCTTATTATTGGTCAATGCAGATATGTAATATTCTTGAACAAACATGAAACTTCAACTGTGACATCATTATTTGATAATTGATTGAGTGCTATTATTGTAAAGTGTGATCGAAAAAACGAACCCACCAATGATAATATGAAACGCCCTTGTATGACTATGCCTTGTTTATTCACCAATCACAATTTTATGTTCATTATAAAACAATATTGGTTTCATATTAGAAGAGTTTTTGTGGATATCACAGTAATTTCAATGGTTGAGATTATGAGTCGATTGAATCTAGACCACGATCCCTCCTCGCCACATATCCACAAAAACCCTTCTGATATGAATCAACATATGCTCATTAGTGAATGGCTTCAAGAGGTATTTCCTAGAGTTCTAGTAAAAAGCAGTGACCTGTGGAGTTCAACCGGGTCAGTTATGAGATAGTAACTCATTGATGACAATGGTGGATGTGTTGCTCAATTACGTGAACTGGTTGAAGTTAGACATTAACACTGTTGGATGCCGACCAGCTCAGTGGTATAATGGTTGAGCACTCGTGCGCGAGACTGATATGTCCTGTATTCGAATTTTGCGAGATGGAGTGGTGGATGCGCACTTCTGAGGAGTGGCATACTAATTGGAAATGTCCGTTCAGTGGTTTCAGGTTTTCCATGGTTATCTATCTTCAATTGACTCATGATCTCAATGTTCGTTTGTTGACTGATATTTCCTATCCTCTAATTACTGTTCGGTATGTTACCTATGTCTCTGCTTTTCGCTGTTTAATAGACTGTATTGATTATTCGTATACGTTTTAGAAGCAAATAAAATTTATCAAGCCAAATAGCTTACTTGTTCTAAATTTGGCTAAGCCAAGGCTCTGTGTTCGACAGTCGAGAGAATAGTTTAGAATTATACTTGTAGGAAATTACTTCCTAGAATTAATTTGTAAAAAATGCTTTCGAATATATAATTCAAATTGAAAGCTTACTAATCTGTAAATAATTTCAATAGTTGAGATCATGAATCAATTGAAGCTAGATCAGCATGGAAAACCTGGAAGCACTGGACGGCCATTTCGTCCCATTGTAGGACTAGCTTCAATTGACTCATGATCTCAACTATTGAAACTACTACAATCTTTACAAAACCCCTTCTGATACTAATCTATAGACATTTTATCTCAACAATTTCAGGTCTATTACATTGACTTTAACTATATATAACTTGTCATTATGAAACGAGGTAAACAACAGAGATTTAAACAAAATATAAACATATCATACTACTGTTTTTGTATATAGTTACTATCATATTGTAAATGATATTGAGAATTTCTAATCAATAAAACTATGATATTCTCTTGTAAAATTATAAAGGTATAATACACAAAAATACTACTGTGATGCACAACGACGAAAACAGCCAACTGGTTTTCTAACCATATCGCAAATGATTGAATGAATGCATAACATGAAGTAATGAAACAATGTAAGCATTTCTAATGAAATTCGTTGATATTACTCGTTTCTTTTTGTGTTTACATGAGAAAACCATTGTTATCTGTATTGAGGATGCTAGACCTCCAGAAATTGTTAGGTAAACGTCATATTTTTTTTGTAATTTTCATTTGAAAATTTAAATTTCTCATGTTCGTGCCAAAAGCGCTCATTTTTATCTTTCGATTGTATTTCCAACTTGGAAGGACCTTAACTGTCTTAAGTTTGTTTCATCTTCGTGTGACGTTTTCCAAGGACATTTTTATACTATATATACACGTCCGAATTGTGTGCTCGTGGAATATATTTTCCCTCGGCTGAATCTAGTCTTCTTTCTCTAGTTATCAGGGCCGAGGTGCAGTGAGTAGTTTAGCTTGTCCTGTTGTTGTGTTGCTAACTTTCGTTCTGTTCACCGGTTTTAGCTGATCTTGTAATCTCTTCAAACGTGACAATCTGTTAAATAATTATTTGAAGTAGAACAATTACTGAAATACAGCCGTTCATTAAAGATTTATCTGACAAAATGGTCTGACAGTAAGAAAAACTTGAAACTTAGCTTTTTATTTCTTGAAATCCCTCTAGGACACTTCAAATAAGTCTTCAAAAGCTAGAAGCATATTGCAAATGTTTGAATTAGTTATAGGGGCTCAGAAAATTTCCACATAATTTTATGAAATGACAGATTATGCTTCCATCATACTAAGTAAACACATTTCACATATTTTCCCGAAGTATTTGTAATTCCAGGGTTACAAACTTTTACATAGTTTTTTTATTTTCTATACATGAAATAACCTTCAAAATAATGCCCACTCCATAAATCCCGCCGTTTAACGTTTTGTTCAGAGTTCAAGTGTAAAAGATTCCAGATGGCTGACAAACGGTTACAAATTCACTTTTAAACGCTCAGGTTTAATTGATAATCAAATAAAGCATAAAAATTATTACTAGTTTCTTTAAGGTAACGTCTACACATGTATGCAATATACTGGAAGATGGTTCAAGTAAATTGTAGCGTCAGATAACTGTATTATTATTACCAATTACTTACGAAAACATTCACAGAACTGTAAATAATTCCGACTTATTGTTTTCTCATTCATGACTAATAACCCACGTGATTACAAATATCATTTGTTGATGGAGTTTTGTTCTCTGAGCTGGGTGGTTTGGTCGTGGGGCTTTAATTGTCCTTCTGAACGACAACATCAGAACAAACTTCAGGTAGAGGTGAATTGTTCTAATTTCTCCACATATAGCTCACAGCTTGTCCTGTAGACACCGATCTTTATTGGTTGACCTTAAACGTGTCGAAAAATATCAGTCAAATGCATCATCAGAAACAAAGTCAAGTACAGAAACCAACAAATACCTTAACCTACTATATATAAAAGGCATATCAGAAACTACAATGAGATTATCAAAGCCTTTCGGAATAGGTGTAGCACACAAGCCAACAAAATCACTACAATCAATCCTATTGAGACCAAGGGACGAAATGACAAAAGAAGAAAAATCGAGCATCATCTAGAAAACAAATTGTGCCAACTGTGAAAAAACTACATTGGACAAAGCGGACTCCCTCTTCATCTTCGCCTGCATGAATATCAAGTAGCGGTCAGACGCCATGACATATCCCCACCTATATCAATGCATGTGGACAACTGCGGACACATATTCGACTGGAAAAATGTGGAGATCTTCAATAGAAGCAATTCTAAAAAAGAAAATTTTCAAAAGCTTGTCACTCAGATCAATTAGAAATCAACAAGCACATTGAAATAGACCCAATTTATCAACTAAACAAAAAAATTATGGACAAACATAGGACCGAAAATCAAACCAAAAGGAGATACAGATGAAATAAAGAATGACAGGTTTAAGGTCAATAATAACCAATAAAGATCGAGTTCTACAGGACAAGCTCTAAATTATGTGTGCAGAAATTAGAACACTTCACCTCTACCTGAAGTTTGTTCTGATGTTGTCGTTCAGAAGAACGATGAAAGCCACACGACCAAACCACCCAGCTCACAGAACAGACCTTCATCAAAATCATTCACCTGAGCCCCAAATCTTCACCACCATCTCAACATTACTTGTTAATATAACAAATTAGTAATTAAGTAAAAGAACTTCAGTTACACAGTAACACTTTTCTTTCAGATTATAAAATAGTGTTTAGAGAAATTTAGATTTATTTATAAAGTGATAAATGAAACTGGTTACTGACTACTTGGTTACTAACAAAACAATGAACAAAATAACTCTTTTACATCTCAATGTTTTATTGTCTGATATCAATTTGTTGATTCAGAAAACTAAGATTGTATGTCTTATTAATCAACAATAAAATTATTGTTGACATATGAATAAACCTTTAAATCACAACATTGCTGTATGATTACGTAGTAGAAACTTATAGATATGAATAATTGAAAGTTATAGAAAACTACTGATCAGTTGACCATACTCATGAAATATCTTCTCTTCAGTTAAACAAATAATTTTATAACGCCAATACTATTCGTAGCAACGTTATTACCGATTTCCATGAACTGAATAAGATGACTTTTGTATCGTGGACCTTCTATTAGGTATTTGGCTTGATAGTGTTAAGCTATGAGAAACGCTAAAATGACCTTGGAAATACCCATCTATTTACTAGGGTCAAATGACGGTTATAAATTAATGCGAGGAACTACGATTAGGATTTACAGTCGAATGTTAAGTTTAGAAATTATATTCAATGCTTTCATCACGAACTGATGATGCTGAAATGATATTTAGCCAAATGAGTATATGAATCTCGCGCCAAAATGTAAGACCTCCTACCTTAAATCTGATTGGTTTATCCATAAATTATAGTCTCGCCCTTTCATGTCCAATTGACTACCTATAATAATTCATGTTATCAGTTAATTACGTAATCAGAAAGTTCATTCCATTCAAATGAATAAGAATATCTAATTTTTTTAAATAAATAATTTCAATATACCAGTAAATGATATGAAAGCTTAAATTTTATGGTCATTCTGTCTTTTAAAACAAAAAGCACATTATTTAACTCAGTAATTTAGATATTAAAATTCGTCATGAATACACTGTATGTTATATCCCGATGAGAATAATGAATGGTAACTGCTGGAATCTATTTCTAGGCTAATACTAAACGTATATTTCTATTGTATAATTATTAATTAACTAAAGTATGCATATTCATATTCCTCTTATTACAAGCTTTATTTTGACCCATAAACTATTATTATACGTTTTACCATTCTTGAGTTATACTTAGTATATTAATTTCTACCTCCCTCATTCACAGCCAAATCTGGCTAATTCTTGTACAAATGTTGTTTCATATTATATTGGTACGTTGTGGTCTGTTTGATTGGTATATAAACTCAGAATGTTTGTAATATAACGATGCATATCGCAGAGGCTGAGACTTGTGTTCTGGAGTAAACTGGCTGGGCTAGGCGGAAAGCAGG